ATATTCATGTTAGAATAAAATGATTCGGAAATAATTGCGGCAGAATTTCAACAAGAAAAAAATGTGTAAAAGATAAGTATAAGTATGAAAAGTGGGGAAAGGTATTTATCATGACAACGAATCCATCTGGAATGATTACTTGTTTAAAATGTCGTTTGTTGAAAGCCAGAAATGCGTTAACTCTGTGTTACATCATCTGAGCTAATGCCCCTTCTGTCTCTCCGTGGACAATGTGTTGTTTTCATGTATTATTCTCACTCAGAATATGATGTGTTGAAACATTTGATTATAAAAGGATAAATCTACGAATGACAGCTCCTTTGGAGTTTTTCATTATCAATGCAATAAATGCAATGTCTGTTAAGGCATATCACCGTAGCCACTTGTGTCCAGAGCATACGTTATTCTTACTTTACATTATGATAAACGAGTGAGCATAGAGTACACAAGCTGTGACGTCATAAAAATCTATTTTTAGAATTTCTCAATTTTTTCTTCATTTTCCGAAAGAGCATAAAAAATAATGTCCAAATGTCGAAAACCAGTTGAATATTTTAAGTATTGGCTGAGATATGACCATCTGAATAAAAATATGTCCTATGGGAACTCAGTGTTATATGCGCTGGCTCCTAGTGGTTAGGAGCCAGCGCATATTACACTGAGCTCCTATGGGGCGTCTATTTAATCAGATGGTCATATCTCAGCCAATACTTAACATATTCAATTGATTTTCGACATTTGGACATTATTTGTTATGCTCTTTCGGAAAATGAAGACAAAATTGAGAAATTATAAAATAAAGTAAATTAGTCAGATGCACGTGGATATGTGGACTTAGCATAGACCCTAGAATTTTCTACAACAAAAAGCCGATAACGATTCCAGAAAACTCGTAACATTTTTGGGTAACATTTCGAAGCTGAAAGCATGAGCAACAACTATATTCTTAACGTGACCGGCTTTATATTTTGTGTTGAATTACCTTGCGAAACCAAGTAATCCTAGACAGTATTGGTAGATCATGCAGGCTTTAGCTAACAATGCCCTGGCGTAGCTACTAGCAACAGATATGGGAAAAAGAAATGTGAACATAAATGGGATAGGCTTTTACTGTCAACAAACTCCTCTTGATAAATGCCGTTTTGATTATTTAAGAAGGACTTTTGAAGAAGATGTGTTCGTTAGAAGTGCGTCTTTTTTCAATTAATAGGGATTCACACACAAAATCAACAATAAAAGAGTAGAGGGGAGAGAGAGAGAGAGAGGGGGAGAGAGGGAGAGGAAAAGACAGATAGACATACAGAGAGAGAGAGAGAGAGAGAGAGGGAGAGAAAGATTGAATTGATATGGTTTATAAACGAAAAATAAACATTTAAAATAGCAGCTATAAAGACTACAACACATTGAATCTATAGACATGAAAATCGTCCAACTAATTCAAAGATTGATTCGCCAAACAATATGCAGCACAGATATTATTGAAAAGAAAATTGAAAGGTAAATGAAAGAAAAAAAAGACAAGAATAAGATGAACGATGAATGAGAAAAGGAGAGGGGTTAGATGTGACAGGGGGATAGAAAGGGAGATAGGAAATAGAGAGAGAAAGAAAGAAAGAAAGAAGAGAAAAAATGTGCGCGCGTGTGTGGTGAGTGTGTGTGAGAGATAGAGAGGGAGAGAGAGATAGATATTGAGAGAGAGATGAGTTAGGGTGTCAGACGGGGTCAGACCAGGACAGGCACGTAGAGACACACAAAGAGATAATTATATAGACCATATATTTAAAAACTAAGAGGGTAGAGGGTGAGGGAGGAAGAAAAGAGGAATCAGGGGAGCGACAGAGAGAAAGTATATAGACTCAGTGAAAGAGAGTGAGAAAGAAACAAAGAAAGCAATGACTGTATTAAACACACATACTTACAACTGTTCAAATACCACACCCATTTCTCCTAAGACTCCTATTAAAGACCTTTGTGATCATGTCTTTGGCTTTGTGAGGGATATACCTATAGCGAATGCCCCATTTAGCATAACACTCGGTCTGACCAGGTCTTCCAGGTCTTAGTGGTGCGACTTGAAATATATATATATATATATATATTCTGTACAGAGGATATTATATAACGAACTCTGCTATTCCAAACCACATTCTACCCAGTTAATATCCGACTGTGGAACTCCTTAACATCTGCTGTCGTCGATTGCACCTCTTTGGAACTTTTCAAGCAGAAAGTGCAACACATTAAGCTCCGTTGAGCTTCAGACTGTTTTTAGCTGCAAATAGAATTCATGTAGAGCCTTTTTACTTGCACTGTACACTCGGCACTTGACAAGCACAAGGTACGATAATACGCCAACGACGGTCTGTAGTATACTGGAAGAAGAAGAAGAAGAATACATTAGACTCATACCACGAGCCGTAGAAATAGTGGACATATTCTTCATGATATCAAAGTGAAAGTTCTTGTGGCGCTTGGTAGTCATGGCGGCGGGAATGCGTAAATTTCGAGCCCTCATTTTGCTGCTAGCTTTCTGTTCAGCTGTGTACTTTGCAATTGGACCAATGGCACTCAATTATTGGAATGAGCAGGAAACTCGAAGCGAAGCCGAAGGTGAAAGAGACGGCCAAGGTAAGAAATGATTTTCTTTTAATTAATTACAATTTTTTTTACACAAATTCTACAAATCGTGACTATATTAACCAACGATGTAACACACAAAACAATGACATTTAGTTTAGGCTGCTACGAACCTGAGGATGATTATGCAAGCTTTACTTACTTACTTTACTTTAATACATGATGTTCACCTGTTCATCGATCCAGGATTCTTCCATGGTAACTGCGATTTGTGGAGGGAGGAGGTTGTGAAATAACATAAAACAACAAGCTTACATACATTGTACGCTCCATTCTGTCCCCTTCCCTCATTTCCCCTATATTTTCCCTTCCGTTTACCACCGCTTACGACATCCCTTTCTGTAAATTAGAATGTATCAAGTGACACAACAGGGGATTATTTACTTGATCAATACACTCACTTATTACGTAATATATCATCATTTCTTCGTGTAGACTGTCGCACTTCTGTATACCGTTGTTTCTTTATCTCTCCTTTCTGTCTCCACTTCCCCTTCTCTTGCACTCTCTCTCTCTCTCTCTCTTTCTCTCTCTTTCTCTCTCTCTCTTTCTCTCTCTCTTCCTCTTTCTCTGTTTCCCTCCTTCATATTGCTGTGTGACTATGATATATGTATAGAACGTATAGATTTATAAGGAATTTTGTTTATATAATTTTACTTTGTAACTGCCATGCTATTCAGCCCGTGTGCCATATGATCCATCCCTTCCCTCCACTGTCAATTATTCTTCACTATCTTTACAAAGTTCATGCCCATCGCATGCACTCCATACTCTCCAACTAAGGATTTTATAACATATTATCAGCAGCCTACTACTTCGAATGCGATAAACTCGCTGATCTTCGAAAAGCGGAGGGACAACAACAGAGAGAGAAAGAGAGAGAGCTGCCATGTGGATTAAACAAAATAAATACCACGTACCAAGTATATTTGTTTTGGGTGTACAAATGTATTTGATTATGGCTTGTAAATTGATTTAAAGAGAGTTTGTACAATAATTGCACTTGAATTTAAAAGTGGTTGGCTAAAGCATTTGAGCTGAATAGAAACTAAATCCTTCATTTATTCGACAACATCATTGAAATATTTATAAACCTACGCCAAACATACTTCCGCAGACCCGCACAATGATAGATAATATACTGACAAATATACGAGCTTATTATGCCTTTGTGCATAATACTCTCATAAAATCAGTCACTGTGGATCCACAATGTGTGTAACGCTCTGTGTAATCTGACACTTACTTTTACGAATATGTGTAATAATCTAACTAAATCAATCGCTTTTCTAATCACCAATTGTCCCTTTACTCTCCCTTTCATTCCCCTTTCTTTCAATATTATTTAGTATTCTCTCCTGTTCCTATGTATATGTGCAATTAGTCTTTGTACAATATAATGTTTGCATATTGTTCGTATTATTGAATTTTATTATTATCAATATCAAATGATATTTTGTTATGTATTAATTGACTAAAGCATATCTGTGATGAAATTTCATTTACATATATCCGTTCTCGTATAATCATTTTTTTAATAATAATATTCAAGACAATATTCATGTTGAATGGAATCGAAAAAAGATCACAAAGAAAAATCGGATTTTTACAGACGTGTTTCAATGAGATATGATGATTTACATCTGGGGAGCGATCTTTGACGTCACCATCCGAAAGACGTGATTAAGTTTCGAACCGGGGTCGCCTGAGCCAGTTTGTAGGCGAAGACAGAGAGCTGACCAAGCGAATGTACCGCTAGACCAATTCACATCTCCTTATATTTACAATGTATAAGCCAGTTCATAGATACAATCTGCGCATGGGCAGATAAAGGTCATTTGTACCAAAATGGTAAAACCCACAGAGATGAATACTGGATATGCGCTCATGAAAGTTATGTAACATTATTCATTTATGCACCAACGGTACATATTTCTATGATACGCAGGTGGAAGTATTCTTTTCAAGAGGACAAACAAAAGGTATTCATGAAGCACATCTAGGACTTTGGCAGTTTTTATTCTAAGATGCTCAAAGTGGAATTTCTCCATCCGTACAAGATCTGTGGATATTTGGGGTCATTTGTACCATGTGCTATCTGTAAACTCCCTTATTATTTTTATACAGGTTGGATTTACGCCTTCTTGAATTACTATGCACTTAAAAATTATTTTGTGTCAATTTCGATTGCTTATATATCATACTCATTACATATGTAAGTATAATTTTCAGTAGATAAATGAAGTATATGTTTATCATTTCATCTTTATAGTCACAAGTGCAGAACCTGTACGTATATCGTTCGTGGACAAGGTATTGAATACATCAGAACAAGTCTTACAACTAGCACAACGAAGGCCATATCCAATACAACAATTACCAGTACCAGTACCAGATCGACCACGGATAAACCTGAATGTACAACCAGCCATCTCCAACGAGACGGCGATCGAAGACGACAATGATCGCGTCAATGATGGCCTGATATATGACTGTTTTGATGATGAGAGAGATACTGTTGAAAGCAAGCAATCTGTCAATGGCAAGCCAGTGTATGGCAAGGTAAGGTTATGGCTAACCACAATCATTTTCTCAGTGACAATATAGCAAAACCAGAAAATGTTTAGCTTTCAAGTTCTATACTGCTTACAAAGGTGGATAAGTACCGGTAGCTCTCGCAAGTTATAACGGTACTCTCTCAGGCATGCACATGTCTTATACATGTTTGTACCTTTTACTCTGGATTTGGTCATAGTACTATTAGACTGAAATTGGCTTTTTTAATTCAATTCAATTCATTTCAATTCATTGTATTTTCGTATTTGAATAAAAAGAACAATCACAATGGCAATAAAATATACAGTGAAAGAGAAAAAAACAAACAAGTATAATCAAACACAACCAAATTCAAATATCTTGGGATTTGTAAATTAAGGCCACAGGGCTATCAATGACAAACTCCCATTACAAAAAAGAGAGAAATGTGTATATGTATATGAAACAAACGATAGACAAAACAAAAACAAAACGCAAAACGGCATTAAAATATTATTTAAAAGGTACAAGAACTAAATATCAAATGGGTTCAAACCATAAAAGACATTATAAATCAGTTGAAATAAGGTATTGATAAGATTTTTAAAACAATTTGTGTTGATGGTAAACCCCGGCCCCCCCACTCAGTGTTACTTAGGGTACGCATATGCGTGTTCCAACCGACCCCCCCCCCCCTTTCAGCAAAAGTCCGGTGTGTAAAGTCAATACGGCTCGACCTTTTTCTTTTGTTACGAAAAGGACATTTTGGCAACACGCATGGGGTCCATCCGTTCTCAGAGTGGGGTGGGGGGGGGGCCGGGTGGTAAACTCAACAAACAACCGAAACGCCCAACTCGTTTCCAATCGATATCACATTTGCACCCGCTAATTTGAAAAAAAGGTTGACAAATTGGCAACATTATTTTTGTTTAATCAGGAAGACGCATGTGTTTAATTTGTGAAACATATCATTGATTTTTTTTTAAATAACAAAATGTTAACCAATCCTTAATAATACCTATGAAACAAATTTGATTTTACAAAGACCGAATAATATTTGTTGGGTCATTCCTGTTCCCAAACGTATTTCGATCCGCAAAGATAGACATGACGGTGTCCAAACATTTGTTATCAGATTAAAATGAGATTGGTCATTCAGATCAGGATATTGTGATATCCTAATGCTTTACAAAAAATAACATACACATATTATTATCATTGACTCTAATGTTGGGTCATTTTTGCTTTTATTTCAGAATAGGACTGTCATGTTCGTGCGCATGCCCAAGTGTGCAAGCAGAACGTTTATATGGACATCCGTGAGGTTACGACAGGTCCACCATTTTGGAAAGCAAGTGAATTTTGAGTACATGCTGGATGATCACCCAGCACTGAAAATCGTAAGTCCAAAGTTCTTCTTGTCATAGAGTGTATTTTGTTTTGAAGACCCTTGTATTGTTTTGTATCATTTGGTATAATAATGAAAAGCAAACGCTGAAAATTCGCAAGACCCAACATATTCTTGTTATAGATTGTTAGAGATTTTGTCATAAACACCTTGGTACTGTTAATTATTGATAGTTTTATGCAATGTTATGAAATACCCATCCTTAAAGAGCCATCAAGTTTTCAGTGTTAAACATGTATAAATATCGTGTTATGAAAGCCTTTGTAATGTTATTTATTGATATGTAACACTACGAATAACCCACCCTTAAAAATCGTAAGACCGCACAGTTTTCCTTGTAATAAATATTTTTATGAAAACCCTTGCATTGAATTTATTAAATGTAAATGTGTTTTAAATAACCCATCCTTAAAAATTGTATAACCCATGCTTTTTTATAGTTAAACATATTATGTATTTTATGAACACCCATAAATTGTTCTTTCTTGATATGTAATCTTATAAATAACCTACCTTTGAAGTCGTAAAATCTAATGTTTATTGTAATATAATTCACTGTAACGAATACCTTGTGTTGTTATTTTAGGATTTGCTGTGAACAACCCACGCTACAAAAATCGTAAGACCCATGTTTTCCGTGTAAAAGAACGTGTAAAAGAACGTGTAAAAGAATACACCTTTCAGAAACACTCCTGCATGTGTTTGTATTCACTCACTCTTGCAAATCTTGAGACCTAATCATTCCTTCTGAAGAAGAAGAACAGTTATTTTGAACAAGTTTCTATTGTTATTTGTTGATGCATGTCATTGAAAATAGTAAGACGCAGAGTTATAAGCCAGTTTACGGTTGCAGTCTGAGCATGAGCAGATAAAGGTAATTTGTACCAAAAAGGTAAAACCCACAGAGATGAATACTGGATATGCGCTCATGAAAGTTATGTAACATTATTTATTTATGCACCAACGGTACATTCTAAGATACGCAGGTGGAAGTATTCTTTTCAAGAGGGCAGACAAAAGGTATTCATGAAGCACATCTAGGACTTTGGCAGTTATTATTCTAAGATGCTCAAAGGGGAACTTCTCCATGTGTAAAAGATCTGTGGATATTTGGGGTCATTTGTACCATGTGCTATCTGTAAACTCCCTTATTGTAAATGAATACCCTTGCAAAGCGTATTTTCCTTGCAGTAACGAACCTCTGCCACGTTGCATTACTTGTTTGGGCTACTTAAAGATAAGCTTGAGTTCTGGTAATGATAGATAATAAATTCTCACAGAATCCAACAAAGCTTGTAAACCCTGAGGCCCGAATTCACAAAGCAAGGTTTGAGCTCAGACCAGGGTTTGAGCTCAAACCTCCTTTTGTTTCGCCAAACCTCCTTTTGTTCTTTACAAACCAGGTTTGTAAAAAATGCGTAAAACGCGTCATATGAGTACGAAAACCAAGGTTTGTCGACAAACCTTCTTTGTGAATTCGGGCCATAATGTTCAAAATAAATGACATGTGCAAAACGATTCAGTAGAAAATGTATAGGGGTTGAGTTATTAGCATAGAAAGATAAAGAGATCAAGTCAAGTACGCCCGACACCATGTGCGTAACACAGGTCACCATGTGCAAATGAGAGTGCAAACTTAATTTCCAGCAAGTTTTTGTTTTAATTTACTCGTTCAAACAATCAATCTACTGCAGGATAAACAATCTAAAATGAATTATAACCATGTTTTCTTGACATACGATTTCCTTACCAGAGCTCAAGATTAGCTTTAAAGCTTATCTGCCATAGTTTACAGGAGGGATTCGAGCGCTCTGCAAGGTCCCTGGACAGGTGGTTATCTCATCAACTCAGCTCTCAGTTAACATAAGAAAAAGAGGATCATGGGGGACCAATGGTCACCGATTAGGCTTTGGTTGTTATATAGAGGGCGCAAGTAGCTACAAGTAGTGCAGTGGGCCTTTAAGCAGTATTTCAAAAGACTAGTTAAGGCAACACTGTCCATGTTCTTTAGCCAAATAAAGGGAACTTTTGAAGTTTCTTGCAAAAGATAAAGTTGTCTTCACAATAATGACAAAAGCTGGAAGTGGGTTCCATACATTTGAGTTCGTTCGTACGAAGAATATCAAAGAGTGCATCATCTTAATAGGAATATCCTTATTTAGCCAACTGATTGTCTCATCAGCGAGCTCTCGAAGTCCAGCAGCACTGTGAGGGAATTTGTAGATAGGACTAGGATCGATGACGCGATCCATAGTTTGGATTCCTCCACAGGCACAGGTTGGCGATGGATCAGCTCCAATTTTATGCAGGAAATATTGTTTACGGCCATCTCCAGTTTTGATACGGTTGAAGTTGACCCAGGCTTTTTGGTTTTGCACAGGGCTCTGGGATGAACTCCTTCAAGTTGTTAGACGAATTCCATATGTCTGAACAGCGTTTTGCTATCCAGGGGGTGTTTCACGGAGATCCTAAGTCGAACTTAACTCCAAGTTGGACTTCAATATTATGGAGAGCCATTTGTAGCCTTATAATGAAATACATCCAAAAGCAAAATTCAAGTATTTTAGACTTTTCATACATTCCATATCAAGCACATGAAATCTCCTAAGATAATAAAAAATATGAATGATTTGAATCAACATTTTATGCCTCTATAAATAACTTCTAAAAAATATTTTCAAGGATGCTAATGGCTTTCCATAATTGTTAAGTCCAACTTAGAGATAAGTTCAACTTAGGATCTTTGTGAAACACCCCCCTGGTGGGTAAGGTGGAGGGGGCTTCTTGAGGTGCGAAGGGTGGTGAAATCAGCTCCCCATCCGGTTCCAGCAAGCTTCTTTAGGAGAGTAGGAGAGACACTCTGGCTTTGGTCTTTTGAGCTGTGGCTTTGGCATGCTCGTGAAAGGTGAAGCTCCGATCAAGAGTGACACCTATATAGGTATATCGAGTGCGGGGTCGAAATTCAGCCTAGACCCAGTTTAGTGAGATATTCAACTCTCGGTTGGCGCATCAGTTTGCAAGATGGAAGACGGAAGATCCAGTCTTAGGTATGCTCATTTTGAGATGCCATATGTTGAAGAACTCAGCTAGCATGCTACTGTCCTTCTCCAGTGATGTCTCGATTGCTTCGAAAGAGTATTTTTTAAATCCCAGTGTGATGTCGTCTGCATAGAAATACTGCATGCATCCCCCTTTGGGTATATCAGAAACAAAGATGTTGACAAGTAATGCCTGGGTAATTTGACTTAATGATTTGGGTTGGGTTTTAAATGTTGTGTTGATTATTGTTCACTTGCAGAGGAATCTTATGGACACAACATTACAGAAAGCCGAGAAGGGTGCTATAATACACGGTCACTTCCGCTACATTGACATGTATGGGTGAGTAATACTCCGTATAACTCTGAAAAAACAGTTCAGATCTATATCTCTTACAGACATTATCACAGGCGAAATTTTGCGGGACAGGTTTTCAGATCAAAGTGCTGGCCCTTTCTTCGTTATTTACCCCGAGACGAGGCACTGTTCCATATTTAGTATGATATTTTAGAACAACGAATTCGATTGAGATTTTAAGAATGCTTTCTTATGAAAGAAAGGCCAATAAGTTCACTCTTAGACGCTTTGCAGTTGATGGAAGGTTATTTTATTCTGAAGGCAACAAAACAGACCCGCCCACACTATATCAAAAAAGGCTTGTCTTCTTTCCCGTCAGGTCATTGGATGCTTTAATTATATTTCCTTTCTATCTCTACTTCAGTTCACCCAAGAGACCCATCCTGGTGAGCATGCTCCGTGATCCCGTCGACCGATTCGAGTCTCATTTTTACTTCATGCGAAACGGTGATCAAGATATGAGCAAAGAATTCGTCTTAAAAAGACTAAGTCCAGGAATGGCTCTGCCTAACGAGGTAATTACTTTTCCTTATTATTGTTGTAAATATTATTATTTTTATTATCATTATTATCAATTTTTTTCTTCCAAAGAAAAATGTATTCAATCATTGTTGAGCAAGAACAAAGCAGTACATTTGAATAAAGTGCATGTTGAGACATATCGGTAAAAACAAACATTGTTACATCATTTCCACATGTTTCATTGTTATTGTTATTATTATTGTGTTTATCATAATAATTATTGTCATTATTATTTTTATCACTGCTATTGTTATTATTATTTTGATTATTATTATGATCATTGGTAGTAGTAGTAGTAGTAGTAGTAGTAGTAGAAGTAGTAGTAGTAGTGGTAGTGGTAGTAATATTATTAGAAGTAGTAGTAGTAGTAGTGGTGGTAGTGGTAGTAATAGTAGTAGTAGTAGTAGTAGTAGTAGTAGTAGTGGTGGTAGTAGTAGTAGTAGTAGTAGTAGTAGTAGTAGTAGTAGTGGTGGTGGTAGTAGTAGTAGTAGTAGTAGTAGTAGTAGTAGTAGTGGTGGTGTAGTAGTAGTAGTAGTAGTAGTAGTAGTAGTAGTAGTAGTAGTGGTGGTAGTAGTAGTAGTAGTAGTAGTAGTAGTAGTAGTAGTAGTAGTAGTAGTAGTAGTAGTGGTAGTAGTAGTAGTAGTAGTAGTAGTAGTAGTAGTAGTTTTAGTATTAGTAGTATTACCCCAGCTTCAGGTCCTGCAATCGAAATCGGCCCATAGTTTATTTTAGTCGAAAGTCGAAACCCACTTACACTTCGGTCGGGTGCAGCAAATGTAAATAGGTTTCAAACGATATGAGTCAAGAGGCCGCTACTCATACTCAAGCCATGAATATACTCAGTAGCGACACATTAACAAACACAAACACTCTTTTCACCCCGAAGGGCCAATAGCTTATCAATCATATTTTCTATTGGAAGGGTGAAAATATTTGCATCAATTATCTATACTTACATTATGAAGACCTGTATGATGCAATTCACGACTAGCAGTTTGGTAGAACCTTTATTTTGCATGAGTATACCGCGAAATACAATTTCAGCATATCACTATAGGCTATGAGGAAGAATAACTACATTCCAGACAATCGGTATGTTATTGTCGGTTGAACAGTGTCTGAAACGATACCTTTCTTTATGAATTTAGTATCAGCGACACTTTTCATGGTGGGGATACTGAATTGTACCGGCAGGGGCGGCGATCCCGGAGGGGACTGGGGGAGACGTCCCCCCTCGATTTTTGTAGGGGGGATCGCCCCCCCCCCGACAAATTTGAAAAAATGCAAACAAATAATGTACAGCAAATACTGACTAGAGACTACAACACACTATTGGGCTTTGGAGGGCCCAGAGTGCAGCGTTTAGACGAATAAAATGCAAAAATCTTCTGGCTCGGAAGCTATGCTCCCTCGCATAATATCCTTCAAAATGTACAAGTAAATATTGTAGAAAAGTGTGAAAAAGTAAATTGTTTGTTTTCATACTATAGTTTTGCTAAGGAATATAATTTTGTAAGACAAAACAACTTCAAAACCTGTGAGGGGGTAGTCACTTTCGTCACCTTCACCCCTTCTATTCACTATGCTCACTCACTCGGGCTTGGGGCAGTTCCCACCCCAATAACATTCAAACGTGGTTTATTTCTAATTTGATCGTAAATACTTTAGCCCCCCCCCCCCCCACTCCCACTTTGAAAAACGTTCCGCGGGGCCTGCATGTAACATGTAAGAGCGGTGTTGATGCGGATTTTTGTTCTTCTCCCTTCCCCCCCCCCCCCCCAAAAAAAAAAAAAAAAAAAAAAAAAAAAACGTGTTTGCTCATTACGTCACTCCTCCCTTGTTCCTCGCATTACGCCCCCCCCCCCCGGGCCCCGGTCATGAGGTCATGAAAAGAAAACGCCGCCCCTGTCCCTGATTGTACGTACAGTGTTTAGGGTTACTATAATGTGATTCTTGAAAAGGAATAAGAGTCGTACAAAGAGCTGGTGTGCTCCGCTGAAAGTTGTTTTCTTCTCGAAGTTTCGAACAGTATGCTCTGATTGTTTGCAGGAGAATGCATAGTATAGCACATCGCCCCAGTGGAGGCCATTTATTGCCTACGAAACGTCGAGAACCAAAAAAACTCACCAACTCACCAGCCTTTTCAGAGTTTTTTTTTATTCCTATACAAGAATGACACGGTGTAACCCTAAAAATACTATCCTACAATTCATATACATTTCTCTTTTTTTTCATATCTTCATTATCTTTACAGACATTAGATGACTGTATAGAGAAAGACCGAGGAGACTGCACGTCGAGCTTGTTGCGTAACATGTATGTCACATCATTCTGTGGTTATGATCCAAGATGCAGGTACATAAACTACAGCAATAATATACTGAGCTTAATTTGGCTATACCGCACACGAGATCGGCCTCTTTTTATATTCCCCTGTGCATTTCTCCGTTTTGTCCGTCCCATAGAATTTCTTCTTTTCTGTATATCTGCCGTATCCCCTTGATTTCCTGGTCTCGTGGGCTGTAGATCTACTGGGGTGACCTACAGAACTCTGGGGTGACCCCGTTTAATATTCAAGATTCAACAGTAGCGTAGCGAAATGAGCATGGTGGGCAACCCCCCCCCCCCCCATCGACCAGTGGTTAAAATAAGAGGTACGAGAAAGAGACAAAGAAAGGGGAAATTGGAAAGGAACCTGAACACAATGTGATAAAGATGATGGGGCCCTCTCCCATGCGCTATATCTAATCGATGGGATTGTTTGTTCACATGTTATTCACATATTAGTAATAGGACCGTTGCCTCCAAGATGCTAGTGACCCTATATGGCTGGGCCCATGCTTTGCCACTAATAGGTTAGATATTTGTTTTACAGCTTGCCTGTATATCAAAAGTTAGATTTACTTGCGCCATTTGCAAACGAGGCGTCATGTTGCTTGCACTATTACCTGCGCTAATCGTCTACGCGAATGCCATTAACCCATCCGACAGTAATTCATTACAATTTTGCAAAGTTCATTTTACAATCATCCTTTGTACGATTTGACTCTCTCATGCCGCGTCAAAGACCACTCCATTCGCTGACGCATTCTTGCGCCATTCGCTGATGCTTTCTTGCGCCAGCGAAGTGACGTCATGTGTGCAACGGCCGGTCACCACTAACTAACAATATATTCCTTGTGTTTACAGTGAGTATCCCTCGTTTGCTTTGGAAGAAGCCAAACGCAACGTAGACAAGTTTTTAGTGATCGGAGTGATGGAAGAGTATGATCTCTCTATGGCCGTCTTTGAAAAGCTATTGCCAGAAACATTTGGAGGAGCAGCGAAAATCTACGAAGAGAACAAAGGTAAGTTATTTCCTTGAATGTTGAAATGGAAGCAAGCTAAAGTAATAAAATGCTCTGGAAAATACAAGCAATAGCAAAGGCCGAGAACTCACTGATTAATAAATAATCCATGGAAATCAGAATATTGCACATGTCACGCCCGTTTTATTCCCTTATTTAAAGAGATAGTTGAGTTCTGTTTTATCTATGACATTTCCATTGCCCTTTTAGAACCTAAAATTGCTATGAAGGTAATTTTAGACCCCAAAATGAGTGAAATTTAGCCAATACGATCATACCAATTCAGCTCCACTTAAAAAAAAAAAAAACACGGTGACCGTTAATTAATTTTTTAATTAAATATAACAATACATGGGCAAGCTGGTTGTGCGTAATATAAACAACACGAAAATGCCAACAGAAAAGCCAACATCGGCATTTGCTGAAATACGGCGTAAAGGGCGTTATTTCGTTTTTTTTTCAACGGTTTTTTCAAATTTTTCAAAATATCTAATATTTGTGGTGGTACACAAGTATAATAAATCGTTATATTTTAGCCGTCTCTGAACCGATTTTGATCGAACATAAAATATTATGTTCTTTAAAATTTGACACTCAGTTTTTCTTTATCTCACAAAAAATATTTTGAGTAGCGCCCTCTGCAACAAAACTCAACTATCCCTTTAAGGGTAAGCTATAACCCCCCCCCCCAAAAAAAAAGATAGCTTAAGATATGACCTCCACACAATACATTGTAACATCAGAAATATTGATATATTTTAAAGCTTGGTAACAAGGAAACACATTATCTCTCTCTCTCTCTCTCTCTCTCTTCCTCTCTCTGTCTCTTCATTTACAGAACATTCGATGGAGAAATCGAAAACAAACTACAAGAAACAGCCTTCTCCGAAAACATACTCCATTTTAAAACAACGGATGAAGTACGACTACGCATTCTACGATTATGTCAAGAAACGCCTGCATAAAGTCGCAAAAAAGCTTCGTATTGGAAATTGTTCTGGTTCATGATAGCCAGGGTCGAAAATTAAATAAAATTAACTTGATCAGATAGAAATTCAAATAATTGTCGTCGTTTATCAAACTGTTTTAATTTCTTTTGATAGCCCCCACTTTACTCAAAAATAAAAACTCGCAATTTTAGCCATCTCGTATACCTCAAAACTTTCCTAATCGGATGAGCCTAGCCTATAAGGTTTTTATCCGACATATGGCGCCATATAGATGCTGTAAATCATCATGTCCGTTGATAGAAGTTGTTTATATCTATTTACTTGATTTACATGAAATTACTCGTTATTTTTAAAAAAAAAATCTTAAATTTTAGGCAGTGTCTGGAACACGTCATGCCACTGATTGCATCAAACCCTGTAAAAATTCCCTTGAAAAAAAATCATATCATATCACTTTCATTCATTGTTTTGTGAAAAACATCAAAATTTAATATATATGTTGAAATATTTGAAAGGTATCGATTCAATAAAATAGATTTTGATAAGAAATCAAAATTTTCTTGGAAACTCGTTTTATATTTCAATATTTATATCTATTTATCTATAATATTAGGTAAAATTATGCAAAGATTTTTTATAAAAGGAGGTATATAAAGAGTGCAGGGAGTGGGAAAGGAAGAGGAGAAGAAGAAAAGGGTGAGACAGGAAGAAAATAGTAACATAGAGAGGTAGGGAGACAAAAGAGAGTGAAGAGAGAGATGGAGGGGGAGGAGAGGGGAGGAAGGGAGGATAGATGAAGAATGAGAGAGAAATATAGGTGAGGCAGGGAGAAAGAGAGAGGTAGGAGAGACCAAAAAATGTGTGAGAGAAAGAGAGAGAGAGAGAGAGAGAGAGAGATAATGATGTAGAATTACGTAATTATTTAAAGATTGCGTTTCTCAGAGTGAGAATAGGTTGGAGAAAAGTGAGGCATGTGTTTGTTTGTTGAGAAAATCGAATATGTCTGAGAGAAGAAAGTTAAAAGTCGAAGAGAGGTGTTGGTCAGGCGCGTACGCAGGGGGGGGGGGGGGGGGGGGGGGGGGTTTTGGGGGGTTAAACCCCCCTTTGGTATTTTTATGTGTGTAAACCCCCCCCCCCCCCCCCCCCCCTAAACCCCCCCCCCCTTTGGATTTTTTTTTTTTTTAAATTATTAAAAAAAAAAAAAAAAAAAATACTCCCATAGTTGACCTAAAAAAGGGTGACCTTACCCCCCCCCCCCCCAACGGAGCAAAATGTCAAATTTTCAAATTTCGAGACCCCCCCCCCCCCTCCGCTTATTCAGCGGCTGGCTGAGTCGTTGCGAAATTTTCGGCCCGATTTATAAATGTTAAACCCCCCCCCCCCCCCTTGAAAAAATCCTCCGTACGCGCCTGGTGTTGGTAAACATCATATTAGGAAATAAAGAGAAGGGAGAAAGCGTATTCAAAGCTGCACTTAAACATGAAAGTACACACATTTTAGGGTGGGAGAGGGGGAGGGATGGAGGTGAGTAGAGGAAAGGAGAGAGAGAATATAAGAGAAAGAGAGATGGTGAGAGATTGTTCGCGTGTGTGTTGTGTGTGTGTGTGCGTGTGAAAGAGAGAGAGAGAGAGAGAGAGAGAGAGGAGAGAGAGAGAGAGAGAGAGAAAGGGCGATAGAGAGAGAGCGAGAAAGATGTCATCCATTATCCTACCAAAGCAAGAGCATCCAAGCGTGACTCATTATTGTAATTCAATTATACATATATTCTTTAAATATTCAGACTTTTTTCATGCCGGAAACGTTCATGAAGGTAATGTGATGAAGCTCGACATTGAGTGATTTCAAGTTAGGTGTTTATGGCTGGTGCTATAATGTTAAATAAACACTAACACTAAACACCGAAATGGAAATCAGCTGGTGTTAAGGCATTGACCTCTGAATATCGTCAACTTCCGGTAGCTAGTGTTATCAATTTTGCAAAATTGTCGTCTGCCGAACCGACCCTTATGGCTGGTGTTAATATTTTACGTGCAAATGTCCTTTTCACTAACACTAGCCCCTATGGATTAAGCAAATGTTGATTTCCTGTTCGGTATTAGTTGTACCTGCACAACAGTCAACGCACGACGACGTTAATTTATTGTTTAATTCATTGTCTGATCAAATACAAAGATGTGAAACAGGTCCTTTACTAAGTGATCCATTTATTCTTTTGTGTAAAATTAGTTTTTCGATAAGACCAGAGAAATAAGTGTAAATTTATTCCAGGCTTTTCATTTTATCTTTAGTTTGATGTATTATGAAGTGTTGTGAAGTCAAGTCTGTGTGGCGATATCACTTTTTTTGTTTTCATAGGTTTTTATTCATTTCTCTCATAAAGAAAATTTTACATAATTTATAACGTTGTATACAAAATAATCTTCACATAGGTCTTAATACCGGTCCCCCACTCCAATCAATCAATTCGAAAGATGAAATAGGGTTCTCACTTCCGAAAAGAAGAGATAAATTTTCATTTTCACAATTGCAAACGTCGAGTATAGCGAACCACATTTCATTCTGATAATTTGAATAAACGAACCTTTGAAATGACAAACCTTCGGGAGAAACCGATGCCATAAATAATTCTACCAAAGCGAGAGCATAACGTGTGACGCTTTATTTATGTTTAACCAGGGCTGATAATGTGATGAGGCTCGATATCAAATTGTCTGATTGTGCATAACGGTCGTGTTCCTTTTTTCTTGTATCAATATTATCAATTTAATCAGCTTGTTTCTATCGTAACGGGCATTTTAACAACAAAAATGATCAATGCTATAAATATCTATCCCTTAATGCTACCCCATAATTTCGATCAACTCAATTTGTTTCTAAGGTAACATGTGTATTCCCAAACAAACAAAATACAACCCTACCCCTCTAAAAAATCAGTAGCACTGATGGGTATTCCAAGGAAGCTATATCATAATGTTGTTATCCACATTTAGCATGTTACTACGGTGACATGCATTTTCACAAATAAAATTATGTACATACCATTCCTCAAAACAAGTTCATCGGCGCGAATACCTATCTAACAGAGCTCCCCTAAATTCGATCAAAAATTGGATGTTCCCATTATAACGTGCGTTTTCTCAAACAAAAGCAAAACATATTTTTTACAAAATATTATTGGGGCTAATAACTTTCTTAAGGAGATATCCCCTGATTCGATCCAAAGGTATAATGTTTTCTGAGATAACGTGCATTTTCTCAAACAATAGCAAACACAAAGAAACAACAATCATCGGCGTTAAAAGCTATCCCATTATTTCCCCTCAATTTTATGAACCTTTGAAAATACTAAGGTTCGGGAACAAACAGGTCAACCATTATCCTACTATTAAACGCAGGAGCATCAAAGCGTGACTCATTATTTCTGTTCACTGCACAACAAGGTCGATAGAAAAACAGCTTATAGCTGACAAGGGCAATCCATCCCATGAGTGGAGAATAATAAATAAATTAATAAATTAGAATTCAATTATGCATGTTTTCATGAAATATTCAGACCTTTTTTCCTGCCTGCTATATTCATTAAGGTAATGTAATTAAGGTCAATATCTGATTGTCTGACAGTGCATAACGGTCGGTTTGTTTTTCTTATGTCATACCTATCAATTTAATCAGCTTGTTTCTATGGCACCTTTAACAACAAAAATTGTCCATGCTATAAATATCTATCCCTTCAAGCCTATCTGCACTAGTTTAGCCAGGAGGGATTAGCCCTCCCTGCGTGGTCACTGACAGGGGGTTATCCCATCAAATCAGCTCTCAATTAACATAAGAAAAAGGGGACCATGGGGGACCAACAGTCACAGATTAGGCATTGTTTGCTACATAGAGGGCGCAAGTAGCTGTAAGTAGTGCAGTGGGGCTTTAATGCTATCCCATCAAGTCGATCCACTCAACTTGTTTTTAAGTTATTAAACGTGTACAACTCCACCTAAATATAATTGGCGCTGAAAGGTATTCCAATGAAGCTGTTTCATAGTTTCCTATCCTTTTTAAGCATGTTATTAGCGTAACGTGTACTTACACAAACAAAATTATGAACGTCCCAATCCTCAAAACAAGTTCATCTGCGCAAATACCTATCTAACAGAGCTATCCCCTGAATTCGATCCATCGTTATGGATGTTTCTGAGATAACGTGCGTTTGCTCAAACAAAAGCAAAAACAAAATTAAAAAAAGCATTCTCGGGGCTAATAACTATCTCAAGGAGCTATCCCCTGATTCGATCCGAGGGTGTAAATTTTCTAAGGTAACGTGTGTTTTCTCAAACAATAGCAAAAATAAACAAACAAAGAAACAGCAATCATCGGCGTTAATAGCTATCCCATAATTACTGCTCATTACACAACATGCTGCTGAGGTATCGGATGCTTTTTCAAACAAACACTAAAACCAAACAATCATCATAATTACCTACACCCTTTGCAGAGCTATCCCATAAACTATCCCATAATTTCAATCCACCAATCGTCATCACAATTTTGATCTACGAGTTGGCTGTATTTCCTTTTTAATCTATCTGTTCATATCGATCCCGTTCTCATATACGAGCTTACCGCCTGCATAGAATGAAAAACGTACCATTTACCATTTACAATTGGTTGGAAGTAGATATCAAGTCATAATGTCTCCTGCGATTTCAATTGATCTCTGTTGATCGATAGCAATAGCCTACAGTTTAAATCCGATGGTTATTCTTTTCCGCCTTTCTGTATTCAAGCAACTGTATATTCTTCGTTTCCAAATGTGTTCCTTTTTTATCCGAGAAAGACGTCAGGTTATCATCGTGCTCTTTGATCATTTTTGGAAGCCCTTGAAGATTGATCTGTAAAATGGTAAGTATTTCATGTTTTTGTTTCAATCATAGTGAAATGGGCACCATGAGACTGATTTGATATCATTGCCATTTAACCTGTCATCCTTTTCAATATAACCATATACACGTAGATTATAAATTTCGAAATAATACAAATTAATAAATTTGTTAAAACGAACAAGGAATTCGGTTCTGGAAGTGAAAGCAATAAATAGTTCAATTTTGGTACCAACAAAGATTTGACTACTGTACAGTTATTCTTCCGAGGACAGTTAAGGTTCGTTTAGACCATGAAATAATTTGGCGTTTTATATCTTTCATTTTTTTAGTATAATTAGGATTTACCATATCTACTAAGTTAACCGAAAAAAATCTATTCCTATGGATCTCGAATGACCTTCTGATACCCAATTTATTTTGTGCTCTGGCATTCGGCCCAGTCTTGCTATTAAAAAGTACAAATTCATTATCTGTG